AAACCACAGCTTAATTACCCTGATTAAGCCTGGGAAGCTATTCATTCATGCTTAATAACACATGGGTGAATGTCTTCCCCGGGCCTTATCAGGGTAATTAAGGCATGGTTTTGGGCCATGTGGCAATCTATGAAGAGGGGCAGGACTGCTGAGGCCCCTCAGCTAATCAGAGAGATGAAGGGCCCTGCTGCACTCAGCCTGCAAACATAGCAGCCAGCCCCGAGATCTACGCTCAAAATCAACCGGCCACCTCCTTGAGTTTGGTAGACCCCTAGCTATTATATAGTCCTTTGACCCTTGCTAAAATGAAGTCATAGAAGAAGAACTTGGTAATGGGGAAATGTATCTATGTGTAAGAGTACCTGGCACCATCAGCTGAAAACAATATCCTTCAGGGTACTTCTGCCCATTCCCTTCTGGGTATGAGGAATGAAGCAATCCTTTTAGTCTGTGTGGTTATGTTAGGATGTTGTCAGGCCTTGGGCTTGATTTCCTATCATATTTCATGACCTTTATGGCTTTACAGGTCCTAAGGAAAATATACCTAACATGCTTTAGAATAGTGGGTATTTTAATTTTCAAAATAAAAGTGATAACTCTGTGGAAAAATAACAGGCTATACAGTTATAATAATAAAAAAAAAAGCAAGTAAAGAGATGAACTGGCTTATCTCAATAAAAATGACAGACTAAATCAAAGGATGCTGAGTATGGAAATATCTGGTTTTGAAGCACTAGCCAGTTAAGAGGAGAAAAGGAGCCAGAACTGAAGCAGGAACCAACAAAAGGATTCAGATGTTAGCAGGCTTTTCTCAATCAGCATTTGATCCTTTCCTGTCTAGAGCAAGCTCTGCTGAATTGCTTAAAAAGCAGTGTTAATACAATTCTTTCCTTAAAAATGTCCAACAAGATATTGAATGGCTGATTCTGCCCCTCATTATAGATTATATTATCTAGACCCGAACACCTTAAGGCAGGCAGTACTCTTGGATTTTCTCATTGACTTCTCATAATTAGAGACTCTCCTTTTCCCCTTCTCCCTGTTTCATTCTGAAGCATTTTTAAAGCATTCAGTGTATTACTATTAAACTTGAATATCATCACTTCGAGGTATTTCTGTTAAATGTATTTCGCCAAGCCATGACTGAGAATGAACATCCAACAAATAACATTGCCATCTACTTAGTACAGCTGGCATTTCCTCAACCTTTGTAGTAATAGGATCTCTGGGTATGAAGAGAGAGGCCCTACTGGACTTTTATTTTTCAAGAGGAAACAATTCATAGGGTATGTTGACATTGGCTAGCGGTTACACCCAAAAATAAGCTCCATCTTCCCACTCCTGTACTGCATGCTCCAATCCTGGAGCCAAGGTGGAGAAAATACACTGTGGATACTCTCTGCTGCTGCTCTCAAGGACTGTTTTTGGGGTGCTTGAGAGTGGCAGTAGAAGACATCTCAAATGTGTCCTCACTACCTTAGTTCTGGGGCTGGAGTATATGGTGTGGGAGTGGATGGGTGGGGCGTATTTTTTTTGGCAGTGACCTCAAGGGTTGCGCAGAACCAGTGTAGACATAGCTTACTAAACGCTAAATTATGAATGAGAGATTAAGGAGATCTACTCTGATATCAAGTTTGCAGATATCAAGATAATGTAATATATAATTACAATTAAATCATCAAAGTAGTTGAAATTAATGAGCAGAAATGTATACAAAAGAATTTTGGGTTGAATATCAAAAATCACTTCCTGACAGTTGGTTATTTTAGATTGTTTCCTAAGACAGACTCTGGATGCCTCATCAATTGGACCAATTAAAACAAGACTGGCTGTAAAAACTATGAAATGTAATGTAGAGAACAGCTCCACACTGGAAGTAAGGGAGGACAAGAAGTCCTACAATACAGTGTCTTCCGTTTCTAATTTGAAAGCCTGTGATGTATTAAGCGAGAAAATCTGGCCTTCTTGTAAAGTAATATTGAAAATCATGGCAAGGAAAGAGGAAAAAGAAGACGACGGTACAAATAGAAGTTATTATAGTCTAATAAAAGACCTGACCTGAAGACTTTAAGAACAAATTGAAACATATGAATTTAAGTACACTTTTTTTAATGTTTTACAGTTAATCAGAGTTTAAGGAATGCAGCACTAGAAGATTGTGCTTTATGCCAGGAAACCATATCTTCTTCAGAACTTGCAGCAAAGGCCAGAGATGGGGACTTTGAAGGTACTTGAATATTTCTGAGAATTAAAATAAGGACACACTGAACTAAGGTTCCTAAGCTGCTCATTAGAGCTAAAAGAAAAGTACAGTATAACCTCATAAATTTGGTGCACTCAGGACCAGGCACTTGCTGGAAATTTGAAAATACCAGATTTTTTAAACCAGCGTGGTGGCCAGTCACAGGGAGGGGCGGGGGGAGTGGTAGTGGTGGCTGGTCCTGGAGCAGCAGCTGCACACAAAGCGGTGGCACAGGGTTGTGAATGGTGGTGGCAACCGCCGCGTGCAAGCTTCCCCCTCCACATCTGGGAGGGTCGGGGGCAGTGGCGGCCGGTCCTGGAGCAGCGGGGGAAAGTGCCGGACTTTTGATAATTCCGGATTTTTGGTATCCAGATTTATGAGGTTATGTTGTATTTGAAAGCCTTGTTCTTTTCTGGGAAATGACCTTAAAAATGGTATCGTAGGATTTTCTATACGGTCACGATATCTGATGAAGTGTTCTCACTTTCCCGTCTTAACTATTTTTTCTGACAGCCCTACAAAACACTACCTGGCATCTGAAAGCTATTTCTTACAGCATACACATTTTTGTATCAGAACAGAACAACATTGCATGTGGTGAATACATAACTACGGCTATATATCATATGGGGTTGTGTCTGAATAGGAGGTAAACCACAACTGAGTTACGTAAATCATCCCAAAGTAATACCAACAGACACTTTGGTACCAGACCATTTTGTTGTCTTTTAAATGCCACTTATTTCTGAAAACTCTAAAACACATTTTTTCTGAAAAAATTGTTTTTATAACACTGTTTATACTATTTTACACTATATTCAATATATAAAGCCAATATAAACAGTAGCCCCATTAATGAATCTGTGCTGACTAGGGAGCAAATATTCTAAATGATCAATATTAGGCAATTCTGAGGACTTTTTATATTTATATTTTTATATTTTAAAGTCTGATATCTCGGGGCTAAAAGCAGATGACTATTGGAAGTATGACAGTACCCTATTGCCAATTATATTCAAGCAATTACTTTTCAAAAGCAATTGTCAATAGTCATTTTTGGGTGCCTCAGTTTTTCTGAAAATACAAGTCCCTATTTTCAGCAGCAATGGGCCATGAAATCAGACCATAAACTTGGTAGGGGTCCTGCACTGAAAATGCCCTGTTCTGGGCTGTAGGCCAGCCTAATTCATAATTGACAACAAGAACATGTTAAGTTCTAGAAAGAAACATAAAAGTAACTCAGGTCATTGGAAAGTTAGAGAAAGCATCAGAGGAGATGATTTAATAGGCAAGTGCAGATGATTGTCAAAGGTAAATGGTAAGCAGATGGAGGAGAGCAAGGAAACAATGAGGAAGTGTGGATTAGCATGACAAGCAGTGATATCAGTACACCAGGAGCCTAACTGTTGTTGAAATATGTTCTGTCTACAGTTTTGGTTTGGATATCTTCATAATGAAAAGGATGGGACCAGATTCAGAGTCTGAATATTAATATTCCCTGAAACTCAGTTGTGTGTGAATTTGCGTCACTCTGAGGTTCATGTCTTTGTTTAATATGGAAGCATGTTTTTAAGCACTTTTTTTAGTATCTGCTAAAAATGCTGCATCCTGCATGATGTATCATTTGGTGAGGGGAGTGGATCTTCTAAGACCTTTTAAGGCCAAGCAGAACCAGTGACTTATGTTGGGACCTTGGGTGAGTAATATGACCCATCTCATCTTCACCTTTGGCTCTACTGGAAGCCAGAGTCTACTGGCCCAGACAGAACACCATGCTAGTACGGCTGTACTGGTTCTAGTACCCAAGTTAGTTCATTCAGAAACAGCTAAGGTATCTGCACAGCATTGTACTATGCGGGCTTGCCCTGTTAGACAAGCCAAAAAGATATGGTTCAAGTTATATCGGAGGAGTGAGGTTGTTTCATCTATCTTAAGGTTTTGTATGTGCTACCACAGAAGTAACTCAAGGCTTATATATCATTTAGTGCTTGCTGTACCATGCTGCATATGATGCTTTTCATGTTCAAAGGCACATAAACCTTGAAAATTAATGGTCGCAGTGCCATTGCAAGGCAGGTAGATAAGCATCCATACCCTCCTTTTAATAGATGGTGAAAATAAGACAGCTTAAAACATGGGTTTAGATCAATAGTTCTCAACCTTTTTGAATTAAGGCATCCTTGGAAAATTTCAGCTTTCACTCTTTTATATTGCCATAGTAAAAAAAAAAAAAAAAAAAAAAAAAA